TTCCTGGAGAATATCGAGCATTCCTACTGTAATTGGCAGAAATAATTATAGTATGTGTATAATCAATGGTGTTTCACAACTCTTACTAAACTTTGTTATCACTAAAAGACAGAACTTAAAGCCATGCCAACGCCCAGGGTAAACTTGGGCTCAGAATGTGAAAGGTGCTGAAACCTGCAGAACTAGATTCTATTAAAATGACATGATTTGGAGGTGGCAAGGAAAACACAAGCTAGGGAGGTGCTGAGCTTTTTTTGTGTGTGAGTGCTTTCACCAACTTCAATAGTAGAGACAAAGGGACCACTGGTCCTTTCAGCAACTTTTGGGTGGGATTTGCCACGATGTACCTTTGATGCAGCAGTGTGGCTGGGGCAGAAAAGGAAAGAAGTAAACATTCCACTTCCACAGGATAAATACCCAGAAGGACAAGAAAATTTTGGCAAATAAATAACGCAACCATTTCCAAATACAAACTGTGCCAGAGCAAAGGGCAGGATTACATGACAGGTGATTTGGAGACTATTAACATTTAATTTATATAATTCATGCACGACAGACTCCTGCCAACCTTCCCTCTATGTTTTAAGATGATTGCATAATTATCTCCTTGTCTTTTGCCCATATGCATTTCCAATTAAGTGGCTAACCCCTTTGTACCTTTATCCATGCCACAAGAAGGCATGGGGGCCAATTACTTTTTTATGTTAGAAGTAGGGTTCTGCAGAAATACTGTTGATTCAGGTTGTATTTTTAGGCAGTCACACAACTAATTTAAAAAACCAATAATAATGTTATCTAAATCATTTGTAAAAAAAAAGAAATAAAGACGTAGCTTATAATGAACTCACACATACCTTCAAAGTTATGTACCAAGTATGTCACCTTTTGGGTTCCATCACTTGGTGTGTAGGTTATCTCTACTTTTCCAGGCCCAGGAACAACAAAATCGGTTGCTCTGTACTGCGTAGGAGGGAAAAGGTATAAAAAAAGAAAATTAATAGGAATTACAAGGAAAATAATCACACAATGTAGAGCTAGAAGACACTTAGACAAATAGAGCAGTGTGTTTCAACCTTCTTTTTATTAAGAGATGGGGATGAAGAGGTCCCGAGAGTTCCCCAAAATCAATAAATATTAGGTGCCTACCATGTACAGGGCAGTTTTTTGAGTGGACAGAGATACCATAGGTACTTTCCCTTAGAAAGTTTATAACCTGGTAAGGACATATATAAGTGAGAGGCAATATAAGAGCTTTTAAATGTCAAAAGAAGGCATAGACAAAAAAATGCTATAGGATGACAGAGGAAGAGAGATTACCACGGTCTGGAGGTCAGGGAAGTCTTCCTACAGGAGGATGATAATAACACTAGTTGTATTACTGAAGATGATGATGAGAGAACTAATGCTTTGTCCTTTCTATGTGCTAGATGCTTTAAGTGCTTAACTTATATCATCTGATTCTTACACCAATTTTACAAGAAAGGAACCGTGATGTAGTGGAAATAATGCATCCAGGGTCAAAAGACTTGGGATTCGGTCCTTTCTTAGAACGTCAGGGCTCAGCATCTTCACGGTATCATTGTTACTAACACCAGGTCCAGGATTTATCCATATGAAGCAGTTACTCTAAAAGCAGTGGTAATAGGATGACGACCCTTAGAAATGGGATGTTCAAGTTCAGCCACCTCTCTTATGGGCCTGAGCTACTCTAGTAGAAAAACGTGCCTGGCACACACTAGGCAACCACCAGTCTTTGCTGCATTGTACCTTCTTCAACGATTTGGATTAGAATACTTGCAGAGTCAGGTACCAGCCACATGTAATTGTTTAGATTAATACTATTAACAGCAGGTAAAAGAGCAGTCAGATAACAGTAAAGATTAAATATCTAAGATGAGTACAGTGGCCACGCCTATAATTCTAGCACTCTGGGAGGCCAAGGTGAAAGGATCGCTTGAGGTCAGTTCAAGACCAGCCTAAGCAAAAAGACTCCTTCCCTAACAAAAATAGAAAAATTAGCCAGGCTCAGTGGCGTGTGCCTGTAGTCCCAGCTACTGGGAGGCTAAGGCAGGAGGATC